CCCCCAGAGAGGTCCAGTGTGACGTGATAGAAAGGTTTATGACTATATAGTGGTGCAGATTTTTTTTTACAATTTAAATAAAAGATGTCAACAACAGAAGACTTGTCCATCCAGCCATTGGAGCCAGAGTCTGACCCAGAGCCAGAGGAGAATGAAGACCATCAAACTGTAGTTGGTAAGCCCAGACCTTATTTGGCAGTTCCATTGCATTTAATTTGGTATAATAGTTCAGAAAACATTACAGAAAATAGAGAAAACAAATAGGTTATCTTATTAATCATTTTTATATGAATATGAATATGATTGTCTGCACTCTTAGAATGTATTTAATGGCTAAAAAGTGGATTTTGCATGATGCATCCCATTTAAAATCAAATCTCTTAAATTCACCACAGAAATCCACCCTTTAAGGTCTGACTTTTCATTCTTTGATGGTAGCCATCAGCTGACTGACCTGATGTGGGCCGCTGTCCTCCTCTGGTGACGGCTGGTCCGTCAGTCTGAAAAGAGTGGCAGGTGTCGGCCTTCGTCGTCGAATCTTAGCAAAAACAGAAAAAGAAGGTTTAAATTGTTGTGTTTGCACCAAGATGTCTGTAACACCTTTCTGTTTTATACAATCTACCAGGTAAATAATTCTAAAAGAAATAAACCAACTCAAAAAAACTGATTGATTTTTAAAACCATGTCACAGCTGTTCAGCTCAACAGGGTTTTTTTTTTATTTTTTATTTAACACTGTGGTTTCTGATGTCATGTCCACTCAGGATTTGTTAAATGACAAGAATATCTATCGTCAGCAAAAGATTATTCTGTTATTATTACAGAATAAGGATTACATTTGTCCAAACGTGGCAGCTACATTATCAGAAAACAAGCTGTGGAGCTCTTTGTTCTGATTCTTTCTTCTCTGTGGCAAAAACACACCAGAATGTCCAGTTATATGTGAGAACATAATACAAATAATCTGTTTTCTGTTAATGTTGAACAAAATATGCAGTTTATTCATTAGTCTTTTTTATATTTTAACACAATTTGTATTTTTTAAAAGCAGTAAAACCAACCAACCAATCAGAGCGAAGGCAGGAGATGCGTGGGCAGCTCAGACCAACTCTGCCTGCCTTTGTTTGCTGGATTTATACATATTCATCATCACCTGATCTCCAGAATGAAATATCCTGCCATTACTTGGGAACAAAATGCATAAAAAAGTGGGTAAAACAACGTGTTACATAAAACTTTTAACGTGACATTTTCACCGTGAAAAGCATCCAGGACAAACAGCACAGTTCGAGCACTGGTTGGAGAGGCTTTTGAGTCAGAGCGTTTTGCTAAAAGTGTAGCCAGAAGGTCAAGCACCTACGGGGAACGTACAGTTTTTATCAGAACCTTGTTGTGCAAACCAGAGATATTTATGTGGCTGCATCTGAAATCATGCACACAAATCGACTTGTTTTCATTTCAGCTGTTTTTTTAATGATCTTTTGGGGTTTGATTGAGCCACAAAGTGGTATACATAAATCCCTCAGCACTTAAAATATAGTAAAAATACAAACAATTGAAAGATCATTTATGAATTTTTAGTCTTTTGCCTACAACTTTGCCATTTCTCTACATAAGACAGTGTAAAAATCGAGTGAAATGCCATCTAACAGGAAATGTTAAGCTTTTCAATAATTTTTTATAGGTCAAAACTGATCATTTGCTGTTTGGTCTGACATTTGCAACAGCAGTCAGCAGTGCACTGTTAAATGCTAAGATTATGGATAAACTACAGAAAATTCTTAACTTTACCCATCCATAATGACTAATTTCAAATTTGTTTATTGGTGAATCCATCTCATCTCTATCTTCTGACACTTGTCTGTAGTTGGGTCAAAAGGTCTATGAGCGAAATTCAGACATCCCTCCCTTCCCCGACATCAGCATCAACCCCATTCTTTAAAACTTTGGCCAAGATTGATGTGTTTATAAGATAAAACAAATAAATGTTGTGGTCTTAATGTTTTTAATCAAATCTTTCTAGGACTAGATCTTTTTTATAAAAAGTATGCAAAATGTAAAATAGGCATTAGACTACATACACACATGGATATAGTGTTACAAAATATTCAGTTCCAATGAACAGTGACTCTGACGTAAGGTTTGCATGTGGAAAAATCAATCTTGAGAGGAAATGAAGTATTAAAAATAACACAATCTGTAAAACATTTAAATAACCCAAACAGCAGGATTCAGTCRTTGGTGTGAATGAGTATATCTGGACTAAAATCTAAAAAGAGAATATTCAATGTGTTTACATTTTATTATCTCTTCTTTACTTCAGTATTTATGTCCTTGTCAAGAATTACCCAGTTGAACAAAATTTTATGAACAAAGCCTCCACAACCAGTGCTAAATGGAGCAAGAATTTATATCATTAATATTGTACTTGGGATGACTTTCACGGCTGTTTAACTTTTGGCATCAGGGTTTATTATTTATGAACAACAACTGGACCGGGTCGAAAAGTTCTCAATCCACTTAGTTGAGCTCTAAAGTGAAAGTATAAATCTTTTGTTGTGTTTATATGATGCATTCAATTAATACAGCAACTAATCCTTAGTAAAGCTTATTTCAGTTAAGAAACAAAAACACTATCATCTCTGACCTGTGCCCAGATCATTTCATGATGTATTTTTTCACTATTTTTACTACAAGACTTCACTGTCTGCCTGGTTTAGGTTGGTTTTCTTGGAGAAATGATAACAGACTCATCTAAATCTTCTGCCCTAAAGCTTATATTGGACAGATGTTCTGCACATCTTCAAAAATATTATCATATAAACTTAGCATTTTTCATACTAAATGAAGAAATCAATACTGACATCTGTTTGTGTCTCACCTGGTAACACATATTGTCAAATATAAAAACATATGGAGCAAATACATAAATCTAGATGCTAAATCGATCATTTTAAAATTTATTCATGTGCTCGTTTCTTTTGATAAAACTTTACAAAACACATCCCGATCTAGTCTGATCTTTCTCACATCTCTGAAAACTCAAACATCTTGGTGACGAAGACTCTGTCGTCTTACGATACAATCATTTGTTAAAACCTCTTTTGCGCGTGTAGGTCAGTTTTGAAGCAACTTTGAAAGTACTACACCTAAAATTACCATAAACACCTGAAAATAAATCTGTCCCCAGCTTCGATTGTTTTCTACAACCCCAATTCCAATGAAGTTGGGATGTGGCGTAAAAATTTAATAAAAACAGAATATAATGATTTTAAATTTTTTTCGACTAATGTCCAACCGAATACACAAAGACAAGATATTTAATGTTCAAAGGGATAAAATTTATTGTTTCTTTAAAAATATTCACTCATTTTGAATTTGATGCCTGCAACACGTTTCAAAAAAGCTGTTAATGTTTATCACTGTGTTATCACCTTCCCTTTTAACACTCAATAATCGTTTGGGAACTGAGGACACTAATTTTTAAAGCTTTTTTAGGAAGCTTTTTTAGAATTATTTCCCCTTCTTGCTTGATAAACAACGTCAGTAACTCAACAATCTGGGGTTTTCATTTTTGTATTTTACATTTAAGCTTCCAGATTCCCTGAATCTTTTGATAACGTTATGGACTGTAGATGATGAAATCACTAAATTCCTTGCAACTTTATGTTGAGAAACATTCTTAAATTGCTGGAATATTTGCTCCTGCAGTTGTCCACAAATTGGTAGATCTCGCCCCATCCTTCCTTATGATTGAATGAGTCTTTCGGGGATGCTCCCTCCATACCCAATCATGGCATTCACCTGTTTCCAATTAAAGGCACAGTGTGTAGGATTTGTTGTTTTCAGCGACATCTAGTTGTTGAGTGGTTGAATCATCCTCCCTGGTCCTCCCCCCACCCCAACCCCCCCGCTTCCAAATGCAAAGGAGCTCCTACGGTGTCTCTCAGGTGTCAAAAACCTTTGATAATTCCAACCGCGATGTCTACCAGCAGCTTCAGGGTTAGTGATGTTTCAAGTGGTAAGATTATGAGCTTTAGTAAGTAAAATTATCCCAGCTACAATGACAGACAACAAATATTACATTTATAGTATTACAACTAAAACCGTTTATTACGCCGCCACCGCAGTCTGTCCTTCATGAGCCTTTGTAGACAAGATGGCGGCTGCCTGTAATGGCGACCTGCGACCATGGAGATATAAACAGCTTTTTATAAGGTAAAAATAATAAAACAAGGTCTTTGTCTGCAATGATTAGACATGTTTTTTATTATTGCCATTAGTGATTATCTCAATTTCGGCTAAAAGAATTGACAAAATCCTACACACTGTACCTTTAATGCGTTGCAGGCATCAAATCCAGAATGAGTGAATGTTTGCAAAAACTAAAAACAAAACAAGAAAGTTTATCTGTTTTAACATTAAATATCTTGAAAATAATTTGCAAACCATTGCATTTTATTTTTAATTAATGTTTTACACAACGTCCCAATTTCTTTAGAATTGGGTTTGATTAACTGTCATGATTCTATGAGGTTTTGGAACCAGGAATACAGACCGACACAAGCAGCTTCCAAAATATAAACCAGACTTTTAGTTTAACAAAACAAAGGATAAGATCAGAATCATGGCTGACTCTTGTTATACCAAATTTGTTTCTTTCAGTTGAAAATTATTCATTGTATCGTAGAGACCGTACTGATTGGAGGGGGTGTTGCAGTTTATGTTCACAAGAAATACAGTACTCACATTCTATAATAGAATTGTCAACTGAGTCTGAATCTCTGCAATTAGAAATCAAGCTTACAAATCACCTTTCAGTAACGGTTGTTTTACATATAAACCTCCAAGTGTTAATTCAACTACAGTGGTTTACAAAAGTATTCATACCCCTTGAACTTTTCCATATTTTGTCACATTACAAC